CGAGGTGCGCGGGGCCGCGGGAGCCGGTGCGGGCTCGGAGCCGCGGATGAGGAGCGCGGGGGAGCCTGAGGGCCCTGCCCGGCCCGGGGCTCTGGGAGCGGTTCATGCCCCCCTCTGCCCCCGGCTTCCTGAAGCAGCCACAGGCAACCCAAAAGGCCCCCACGGGTCTGTGTAGGGCGTGGGTTCTGCTCGCAGGGAGGGTGTTTCTGATAGTTTGTTTTTTGTTCTTCTCCTGTTGAATTTCTTTAAAGCAACAGCAGTTCTGTGTTTTGTAACAAAGGATGAGAGGGCTTAGAGTCTCATTTAAAACGGGATAGTTTGGGTAATATTTAAAATAATATAGTTTTAGATGTAGGTACTTTTTCATCAAAGATGGATGAGAATCACAAAATCCAGATTGGTTTGGGGTGGAAGGGATCTTAAAATCCATCTCGTTCCACCCCCTGCCCTGGACAGGGACACCTCCCTCCATCCCAGGCTGCTCCAGCCCCACCCAACCTGGCCTTGGCACTTCCAGCGATCCAGGGGCAGCCCCAGCTTCTGCAGAACAGCTGGAGCAACTCCCCCTGCGTTTTCATTATTATTTTCATTTTTCTCCCGTATCCCCGGGGCGGGCAGGAGCAGCGCAGGGCTCACTCCCGGCTGCCGTGTGTTGCAGGACTCGTACCGCAAGCAGGTGGTGATCGATGGCGAGACGTGCCTGCTGGACATCCTGGACACGGCGGGGCAGGAGGAGTACAGCGCCATGAGGGACCAGTACATGAGGACAGGAGAGGGCTTCCTCTGCGTCTTTGCCATCAACAACAGCAAATCCTTCGCTGATATCAACCTCTACAGGTACAGCTGGGGCTGCCCCATGAGCGGGGAGCACGGGGCAGGGCAGGGATGCTGGCAAATGAAGCACTCAAGTGCCTTAGTGAAGGCTCAGTAACAGACAAATGTTAAATCTCTCACTTCTTTCAGAAAGTTTTGTCGCTGTTCTGTGCCAATGCACAGAATCACAGACAGTGGTGGGTTGGAAGAGACTCTTAAAGCCCATCCAGTGCCAGCCCTGCCATGGCAGGGACACCTTCCACTGGACCAGGGTGCTCCAGCCTGGCCTTGGACACTTCCAGGGGTCCAGGGGCAGCCACAGCTGCTCTGGACACCTGTGCCAGGGCCTCATCACCACCTTCAGTCTGTTAAGACTGGGATGATTTTTAGGGGTTTTTTTGTGTTAATCATCAGTCTCTATAAACATCTCCAAGGGATGCCAAGAAAACAGTGTCAGACTCTTTTCCGTGGTGCCCAGGGACAGGACAAAGAGCAGTGGCCATAAACTAAACCCCAAGAAGTTCTACCTCAACATGAGGAAAAACCTCTTTCTCTGAGGGCAGCAGAGCCCTGGAGCAGCTGCCCAGGGAGTTGTGGAGTCTCCTCTGGACACATCTGAAACCCAGCAGGATCTGGTCACCTCCAGGTGATCTCTTGGCAAAGGGGTTGGACTGGGTGTTCTCCAGAGAGCCTTTCCAGCCCCAGCTGTTCTGGGATTCTGTGAATCAGAAGCCATTTACACCTACAGAAAATGGGTGAGAAATCCAGGGTGGAGTTATCCATGGACACAAAACAAAGCGCACAAAGTGCTGCTGACCCCTGAGGCCCAGCTCACCTTTAATATGTTTTGGTGGCACAAGGTTGTTTGAATATGAACTAAACCAGTTTTTATATTTAGAAAATAGTTCCTATTTTTTTTTTTTTTTTTTTATTTGTCTTCCTAAAGAGAACAGATCAAGAGAGTGAAGGACTCGGATGACGTGCCCATGGTGCTGGTGGGGAACAAATGTGATCTGCCCACGAGAACAGTGGACACAAAACAGGCCCAAGAATTGGCAAAAAGCTACGGAATCCCCTTCATAGAGACCTCTGCAAAAACGAGACAGGTGAGGGGCTCCCCCAGGGGCTGACTGCTTTCTGGGAAATGCAGGAATGATGTTTTCCCATGTGCCTTATTTACAAGAGAAGCATTTTTTCAATCCCTTTGCAGTTTTTAGCTTTTATTTCTCCCCATTCACTCTTAGCTTGAAAGAGCTCTGGGCTGGGCCAGTGCAGGAATCACTTCAGACTCATCCTGACTTCCTTTCAAGTGGGTCATATTGATAAAAAACATAGAGAATAAAATAATTTAAACTCCTCTAAAGTTACTAAATAAAACTTCAAAACTAACTAGGGAAAAAATAAATACTCAGAATAATAAACTAACTAAAACCAGCAAATGTAGAGATAAAGAGACCTACAGTGGTTTTGTGGAAAATTACGTAACAAGAAAAAAAATAGCACATGCCCAAAAAAAAGATAAAAAAATTCACATTTACTATTGAAACATTCAATAAATACAACCACCCAAAACCCCTCTTAATATACCTCCAAAACCATAAAAAACCTCCCAATAAGAAACAAATGCCCGCAGAATAATTCCTAAAAAACAATACTTATCTCTTAAATAAAAACCACATTTTAATTTTAATAAATCAATACCTTCTTATAAAGTCTCACAAAACACACAGAAGAAAAAGGAACCCAGCTACTTTCTACTGCTTCAGCTTTTGTTAAAAATTTGATTCCAGCCAATTTCAGCTGCAGGAAGAGCAGCAGAGTCTCAGCTGCTCTCCCTGGGGAGTGTCAGGCTGAGCTCGCTAGTCCCAGACCTGCTTGATTCTCTTGGCTCGTTAATGAAAGCCAATTAGCAGATTATGATTGCACACAGAATTCCCCAGACTGGACTAATGGGCTTCTCCAAAGCCTCCTTGGCCATGTGGGCCTGTCCAGCCAGCCCTGCTCTGCCTGCAGCAGGGGAATGGAGCAGGGAAGGTGCAACTATTGAGCAGCAGCCAGAAAATCCTAAAGAGTTGAACTCTAAGAATCCTAAAATTGTTTCCTGCATGGAACCTTCCTGAGATACAGTTTTCCATGTTTATTTTAGTGGTTGTTCCCCCAGGAGGAGGCAGGAGTGTAAGGAGATGGTTTGGGACATCCATATGGGTTTCTTCCTCTTAGTAACCATGGGATAATTGTGTGTCACAGTGACACTGGTGGCTGGGTTCTTTTTCCCAGGACTGAGATTGATGAGACAGAGGCTGTTTTCTCGTGTTTGGGCTTGGTTGTTTATTCTTTCCTTATCTATATATAATATGTATATGTATACAGAGTACAAGGAGCTCCTCACACTAAGTTAGAGAGGTGCAAAATGGAGAGCAAAGAATCACTCCAAGGTCTTTTATGTGTCTCTTTGTCCAATAATTAAATGCCAAGTAAGTTATTTTTCTTAGTGACCCAATGACACCTGTGTGCTGCACTGCAGAGTTCTTTATCCAATCACTCATTATTACCCAAAAACCCTTAGAAGAAGAAGATGAAAAAAAAAGGAGAAAGGGACAATGTCCTAAGT